CATAAAATCTCTGCCATAGGAGCCTATGGTAAAAGTGTTATATTACTGTCAAAATAGCGACTTTCACTAAAATACAACCACCAATTTCTCGAAGAAAAAGGCTGCTGACCCCCAACTTTTTTTAAAGTCAATATTCTTATATTGCCTTGGAGTACAATTTATTGTAAAATGAATAAATTCTGGGGTTTTTATTTTATGAGTAGGCTTCTACCTTAATGCAGTTTGTATTTTGTGAATGATGACAAAAATCAACTTCAATGTCAAAAGGTTAATAGAATAGTTGTGTGTCATTGTAAAATAGATGCGCATTTCAAAACTAGTTTCAACCAGATGAGAAAAAGTGTATATAAATGTGGAATATGGAATACCCTTGGTATTTGAAGTTTACTGTGTTTGAGTGTTGAGGGTCAGTGATTGTTTTAACCTTGGCAAACTGACATCTTAGTTTTGATCAGTTCTCTAGCATTCTCCACAGGATTTGAGCCAGTAATTCATCAATCGTTGCTTAATATCTTGTCTTGTGCTTATTTGGACTTGTTTTTTTTTCTGGCACTTTTTTAAAAAAAAAGGTTGGTTCACAGTGTCTAAAAAAAAGTTGGATGGCGTTGACAGGTATTATTATGTATTAGTGATATGTAGATGATGGATAAGCCTCTGTCATAAACATTCACCTTGTTATGCAATGGAAATCCTTTTTGAAATCTCAAAAATGCTTCCGGCGTTATCTTAGAAACATGTGCATTCGAGTGTAAAAATTTTCCAATTTGGTCTGTATGATGGGGTTGATTTCCATTACCACATGCGTCAACGGTACTTGATCTGACCAATAATGTCTCAGTATGGTTGCCATGCAGTCAGTAGAAAGATTGTTTACACTGCAATGATCTGCGTTTTTGGTGATTCTGACACTAAAAATTTCATTCTGTTAACTTCCTCAATCTATACTGGCTATACAAAGATCGTGATTGCAGATAGCTTTGGCCATTTTACTGCCATTATCAAAGCCTGTTTATTAGCAGCTATTTTTCCCTGGGCTAGTGCTTCATATGCGTCCATGACCACGATTTGCCCTGAAGAAAAATGAATCTGTAACCACGGCCCTCTTCTGTTTTCAACAGGATCACTAACCACAGTTTTTTACACTTAATATGCGTACATACTCAACTAACTTGGCCATGTATGGATTACTGTTATTGCTAGAATCTTATTAATCAGCAAATTTGATTTCTTGATCCGTAAAGATCAGTTTCAGCTTACATCGAAGCTGTTGTAATATGAACCAATCTTGTATAATTACATGTATTGACCTTTGGTCACATATACATTATTGGTTTTATTATAAGCGCATCTCCAATACAAATGTATGCAAATAAACAATTTTCTTATACTGCATGTATACTAGTATATCACTTTATTGAGTGTAAACTAAGTTACAAATGTAATTTTCATAAGAGCCCTCTATCGAGAAAAATAAAGAGAAATCAAACATAAAAATAAAGAATACAAGCACGTAAATCGACCATTCATTTGAACACTGGTGAAAATGTGTTTCACATTCACTTGTTCAGCAATGAGTTTCAAAGGCAAGCAGCTCTGTAATGAAACATGTGTTGATCATGGTTGGTGTTAAAATTAGGTATATATTGATGCGTTCACAGAATGAGTACCATAATCGTGAATATACAGT